TCCTGCCTCAGCCTCCTGAGTAGCTGGGATTACAGGCACGCGCCACCATGCCCAGCTAATTTTTTGTATTTTTAGTAGAGACGGGGTTTCACCATGTTGACCAGGATGGTCTCGATCTCCTGACCTCGTGATCCTCCCGCCTCGGCCTCCCAAAGTGCTGGAATTACAGGCTTGAACCACCGTGCCCAGCCCTTTTGATAGATCTTATTGTACACATGTTGTACTAGAAAACCCTAAAGCAGTTGCTTAAACTTTGTTCAGCATCAGGGAATTTATATTGGAGAAAAACCCTGCAAATGTAATAAATATGAAAAAATGTTTTTTTCCCCCCAAAAAAACTACAGCTTGGAAAACAGAGTTCTTACTAAATTATATTTTTGCAGATGCAGTAAATATGATAAATGTTTAATCTAAAATTAAGTCTATGTAAATAGCAGAGAATAGAAATCATAAAGCATAAAGCATTGACACTTCAGATATTACACTAGAGTGTTGAGTAGGAAATAATCCACAACTAAAATTGTTAGATAAGTTATTTATGTATAACTTTAAAAGACAAAGATTGTTTGGAGATTTATAATTACTTTCAAAGTATCCCTTTTCTTGAAGAAAATTACAGATTTTTTGAAATGCAATTATGTAATTTAACTCTCAAATTTATGTTTTTCTTCATTCCTATTGTATTCTCATGTGAAAGCAAGTGATCAGTTGTTGCTGCATCAGAGATAAGAGATTCTTTTTTATAAGTGGGCATTATCTATGACCCTTTTTATGGAAGAGTGAGAAAATTATAAGATGCATGAGGAAAATCTAAGTAGAGATGCTCTTTGTGGTTAACTTAGAATCTTAAGTGCTGCTTGAGGTAGATGTTCAGCCTAATATTCTTTTGCATTAGGCGAGAAAAATTTTAAATTTTAAATTAAAATTAGTATATCATTTTGTTGATTGTGCTTTTATGTAATAAAATGCAGTACTTTAAAAATTTAGATTATGTGTGAACTTAATTTTTTAATTAAACATTATTTTTAACATGTTAAGACTTGTGTCTTAATTCAATTATATGTTGTTATGCCACTAACTTGAACCTACTCCACCTTACTCAACGGTGTGGGGTGAAAAATGGTAACGATATATTATATGGTAACATAGTGGACTTACATCTCTAGTAATCTTTTCCAGCAGCTTAAATTGCAAATACATTAAAGAGTATTGTTCCCATAGATTAAATTATCTTTTTAAAATTTAAATTTATTTTTTAAATATTTGTGGGTACATTGCATATATATTTATGCCATAATTTGATGCAGGCATACAATATGTAATCATATCAGGGTAAATGAGGTATTAATCACCTCTAGCATTCTCGATATTACAGACAAACCAGTTCTGTGTACACTTTTAGTTGTTTTGAAATGTACAATTGTCACTACAGGGTCATTTTTATGATCATAATAAAATTGTATAGAAGTACAAATAAAGTCCATATTTCTGAGTCCTAAATTTTATTTTTAAAATTTTGTCATATTTTCATTGAACATGTGACCTCTATTCCTGCAAACACAGACTTTTGGTTTTGATATACATAAAGTTACACATATGTTGCTCTAAAAGTAAAAGTATAAGAAAATTATGTTTGCGTAAGTATGAATTTGTATTTTCAGAAGAAAAATGAGAAAAAAAAACTATTTTAATAAGGTGACTAATTTACTAGAAAACTAAAAACCTCAATATGTGTAAAGCATATTTACACTGTGCTTTGTATTTAATTCACAACTATAAGATCCTAGGGCTTATGGTTCAGACTCTCCCTTGGTAATTTCTCTGTTTTGCTTGCCTGGTACTCATGCTAGATCCATAATTTTTGTTTTTAGTTTCCTATAACTATTTTGTTTTATAGATTTTGAAGTATTCATTATGTGAGCCCATCAGAGATTATAATAGTTTATAAAAGTAGTGTACACAATTTTTAGATGTAATTCACAGTGTTTTAATTTCTATTTTTAGTTAAAACTTTATTTTACTTAGAAATCCTATATAAGACTACTTTAGTTATTGTTGCTTTCAGTTTTTTAAATTGACATAGTATTTTTATTGAGCCAGTTTGTTCAAGTATATGCTAGGGAGACTTCATAAGTCAGGATGAAGTTTTTTTTATATATAAACGCAGCAAGCAATCATGACAGTGCTTGCTGTGTCACAGGTGCTTAATGATAATCTGTAAGTATTCCTCCTGGAGTTTGTAACTTCAAGTCAAAGAAAATATCAATGGTGAAGAAATAATAGTGACTCTTCATGTAGAGAGGACATTTTTTGTAGCATGCAAAGCTGACTTGGTGAATTTAAAGAGAAATTTTGCTTTTACTTTCTAATTATCTTCAGTTTTGCCTTTTTATGTGTATTCCAACTATGTATGCATCACAGCTCTTGTTTTGTGTATCTTCATGTAAAAATAAAAGCAAAAAATTAATGACTATCACAATAAATGCAGAAAAGACATCCAAGAAAATTCAGTGTTCATAAAAATATTCTCAACAAGACATTGAAGAAACATGTCAAAATAACAATATGACAAATTCTCAGCATACTGAACAGGCAAAAGCTAAATGCATTCTCCATAATAGTACAGGAGTTATTAAGAAATTGTGTTTAAGAAATTATGTACCTGGAAGCCAGGTACATTCAATATGGCATCTCCCACCCTCTTCCTTCCAGTTATCGCGTGCTGGTGTCATGGCAGTCTTCAGGTAAAACCACGTGTACAAGTATGGCTGCTCTAAAGTGGAGACCTTATTTGCATAATAAAGACTAGGGTGGCTGTGTAAATGGCACATCTGGTCAAACCAATCCCCTGGGTCCTATGCAAATTAATCACAGCCCCCTCAAGCCTCTGTACAAAATTGATTGCATTCCTCCACAAAGTGAGAACCTCTTGGGTAACCCACATTCTCAACGTGAGGAAGCCTTCTCTCTCCTTTTTTTGTCTAAACTTTCTGCTCCTAAACCCACTCCTTTTGTGTGTCCATGTCCTGATTGTTTCTTGACCATGCCAAAGAACCAGAGTATATATCCCAGACAAGCCATTTCAATAATTAGAAATGACATGAATATCCATTTTAAACACTTATATTCAACATAGTTCTGCAAGTCCTAGCCAGAGCATTGTAACAGGATAGATAAAAGACATCCAAATAGAACAGGAAGAAGTCAGATTATCTTCAGTGATTATATAATTTGCCTAGGACATTTTAAAGATTTCACCAAAACATGTAGCCTAAAAAATGACTTCAGTAAAGTCTGAATACAAAATCAACATGCACAAAGGCGTAGTATTTCTATACACCAATAACATTCAAGCGGAGAACAAAATCAGAAACAGTTCTATTTACAATAGCCAGAAAGAAACAACAATATACCTAGGACT